ACATCCTGACTTGGCCTCAGAATGCCGGAAATCCCATTTCTGAGAACCTAAATACCTTTTAAAAAATATCTGCTGGAGTATGCCCCAGAACCCCCTACAGGGGATTACCTTCTGCAGTCCATATCTAAAACCGCCTTCTATAAAATCCTGTATCCGTACCAGCAATCTGCATCACAGGTCATGGAAAGTAATTCCTTCTACCGCAGTTCAATATTGGATAACATGATAAGAGTTAAAAGCCTTTATCCAGCTCATTTGTGCTAAAAAGAATTTCTTTATTGAAAAATTCCACTTCTGACACCATGTTTAGTACTCACAACTGTCAGCCATAATAGTCAAAAAGTACAAGGATCATGACAACTGTCTACCTGGTTATTGAGAAAACAGCAACTAAAACACATCACAACCCAAGACAACTTGTTACATCATTGCAATTTAAAGCCACATTATTTTTGACTGGTAGGACCAAAGGCAAATTTGAATGCAATAAATTTTTTACAAGGATGTATCTTTTCAGTTTTTTCTCCAATACCTTTATTCTGGAAAGTAGATCTCTGTATGTTGAATGCTCATCTATCAGTCTTTCAAAGCATACTTTGTGCACACAGTAATGGTCCTAGAATGCATATTCACAAATTTTTTCATTATATATACAGCAATTCATGAATATTGCAAACATACCTATGGCCTCAGGAAATAAAAAAAAATGTTGATTAAGAACACTATGTAACAAGCACTGCAGCTTGTAATAAAATTCTGAAAATTTACCAACAAATATTATCAATTCTTCTAACAATTTAGAACAGTCAGCCATCTTGAACAGTCATGAAACTTCCAGATATGATTATTGTTATAATTAGTAATGATTCCTGAATCAGCTTTACCTAATACACTGTAGTTATCATCTCCAACAATTAGAATGCATCACAGATCTATGCAGCCAGCCCACTAGAAGTGATACCTTCCTGCCCCTCCACCCTCTCCCATCTTCCAGCCAATCCTACTTACACAGGGCAGGACATGAGTCTTCATCCCAGACTCTCTCATTTATGCTAACAGTACAGGTATGGCAATTTAATGATTCATTACTTTTCATTTTGTTTTATAACATGATATCCCAATTGAAAAGAAGTATGCTATAACAAAGAGGGAATTTAATGACTAGGGGGAGAGCTACTATTCCTGGATGATACAACAGTCCCACACATTACTCTGACAAACATACAGTAAATTATGCCATGAACATTAATGCCACCCTCCAGAAAATACTTGCCCTCCTTTTTGCACCTCCAGCCCCCCTCCTCTCCTACTCCTGGCCATAAAAATCACTAATTGCATACCAAGGTTGTTGTTGTTTTGCTGTTGTGCTGGAGATTAGGAGATGGATGACATAACATTTCCATCAGCAATTGTAGTAGGAAATAAAACCATACACTTTTACCTGTTTGGTAGTTTTGACACTGCTATCCAGATTCAACAGTTCCTGACCAAAATATATTAAATATAAGTTGTAAGAAGCTTACTTTTTAATATAACTAAAGCTTACTTCCTGTTTTGTTACAAATAGGCCCTTCCACGGTTCATTGATATTTTTAAATAACAATTTTAAAACACATTTTAAGCTATAATTCTTAATCTTTCACTTATTAATGAATTAAGGCGAAAGTATATAATTGTTTCTCAGGATCAGCAGGATCTTCTCTTCCGGGTTTCAAAATGAAAACAAAATAATTATTTTTCTTTTTTAATTAAACTTAAGCTTATTACATTTTCAGTGTGAATCAACCAACAATAAATTGTAGCCGATCTCTTATAATTTGGATAGAAAACACAGCTGCAAACATCACTTCCACTTTCTAAGACATTCACTTAATGCATTTCAGCCACCTAACTTTTCTTAAAACCTACCTTATTTAAGAAATCTTGAAGCTGATTTGAATATACCGCCATTTTCGTGTCCATCACATGTGCGGAGCTGAATCTGCTAATGTATCGACCTAAAAACCTTATAATTAGCACAATTTCTCTTCAGTCGTGTTCCAGCAGGCTAAAAGATTGCTTCCGTTTTAACGATTTCTAAGAAACTCAAAAATTTGCAAGCGGTTCACGGAAAATCCTCATGGATGCAAACCCACTCAACCCTTTTCAGCATAATTTTTTTGGGGCGCGTTTCCATCGTTACCATTGATTGCGTCAAATTACGTGCGGATTGAACACCATTCATCCCCAGTCCTACTCCAAAATTTGCACTGTCGTGCTGTCGTGACCGATCCAACATGGCGGAGAGTTGGGAGTATGGTTGAGTTTGTTTTGGCTGGAAGAAACACTGCAAAAAGAATAACTTATAGAGCGTAGAAGCCATGAGGGCCCGGAGTAACTCGATTGTTCGTCTGGACTGGTATCACAGTCTTGTTAACCGCACCATTTTGGATTTTCAGGTAAGCTAATTTATATAGGCTTATTTAGCTAGTTCATAAGATCGACTTTCGGTCCGATGACTGATACTTATTTGGGTTGAGATCAACTTGTTTTTATGATGAACAGGCAAGATATTGATCTGCTTCATTTTGTCGTTTGTCCTCCACTGGTTTTATTTGTCGCAAATCAAACCTGTGCGGTGCATCATGTCCCGACAAAAGCCATATCATATTGTCGTGCAAAGTTGACACGAATAACCTTTAGCTCTTCTTACATACGTGTCTAAAAGAAACTTGAGCTGAAGTCTTAGTCACGTTATTTACATCTTCGTATCATGATGATCACAACATGAACAATATCTATATTCCGCGTAACTTGCTGAAACAAAGAGTTTGTCTGTATAATTATATAACAGTTGAAAATTTTGAATAACAAAGAGAATTAATAGATGTCGGTGTTTCTGAAGAATCGATCAATTAGGTTATATCGCCAGACACGCCAAAGTTTTGACCTCACGTCAAACTTTCTTTTGTAATAACTACAGATCCTTTAGAATTAGTAGACATGTGCTAAAACCCAGAAACAGTTTGTAACAACCCAGAAAACTTTTATCTTATGATCAACAAGCAGACAAACAATATTTTATTATTTTGTAAGCTACATGTATATGGATGCACTTTATTGTACAGCAACAAGAGAAAACTTTAAACCCAGAAGTATAAATTGTGTGACTCTGCTTTCTGTTCCATTTGTGTTTTGGGTTAGTGCCTACTTTTGTTAACAAACTTTATCAAAGTGCCAGTACATATGAAGCTCATAGAGCTCATTGGGAG